GAGACGAGAGCACGTTTTCACCCCCCTTCCTCCATTCCAGTCCATCACATTGGATCAGCGATGGGTTGAATTAGAATAAACTAATACTATTCTGACAATAAAAAAAATTCTTATGATGACTATTTTATGGCTTTGAATGGTAAACAGATGACTTGTTCTGGGTGGGCTTACACTTCCCCAAAGGAGCAATTATGATTTTTGTAGGGAGCCACAGAGATGACCTTGGAGAAACCAACTGGAAGCCGTTAAGACAATAACAGGTGCAGAAGTATGCACTGAGACCAGTGAGGCATGAAAGACTGGTTCCCTCTTGACTCCCTGGGGTATATGAATGAAGGAAGGGGAAACACAGGCAGACTTGCGAGATCTTTTTACTATTGCATATCTCAGTAAAATATAATTCTAGACAACCTGATCAAGAGAACCTTTAATGACCTAACCAAGAAAGGTCAAATCACAAAAGAAGAACAGTGGCAGATGAAAAGCAGTGGACCCATTCTCCCACGCTTCCATGGATGCCCAAAAATACATAAGCCCGACATACCTCTTTGTCCTATTTTATAGTTACCAGAGACCGCAACATACAACATAGCCCAAAAACTTACAGAAAAGCTTGGATATCTCACACAGGGGAGTGAATATTCTTTCAACTCCCCACTACAGTGCCTCCAGAAATCAAAGATCTAAAAAGAGAACACGAAATTATGGTTTCATTTGATGTCACAGCACTCTTTATGTACATAGATTCAAAATAGCGAAATAATCCATGGCGGCAGTACTACACAACACACCCGACCTAGCCAAATACAGTAAGATCAAGATACCCAGAATCATGGACCTCATCAACCTCTGCCTCACCACCTACTTTTAGTTTGATGGACATTATACCAAAAAAGCAGAAGAACCCCTATTGGATCACCACTCTCAGGACTCATAGCAGAGACCGTAATGCAGTGTCTAGAAACTATAGCACTCCCACACATACAAACAAAAGTATGGATCCAGTATGTAGATGACACCGTCATTATAAAAAAGGAACAACTAGAGAAGACATACTGTATGAAACAACATCTGCAAAGGAATAAAATTCACAAGGGAAGAAGAAAACAACACACTACCCTTCCTGGATATCCTCATCAGCAGAGAAAAAAACAGCAAATTAAAAATGCAAGTCTATTGAAAAACAACCTACACTAACCAGGTGCTCCATTACCAAAGTAACAACCCAATCTCCCACAAGAGGAGCTGTGTAAGAACATTATTCAGATGAGTACAAACGCACCGCAGCCACCCAGAACACCAGAAAAAGGAAACAGACCACCTATACAACATTTTCCAACAAAATGGATACCCACACGACTTAATCAAAAAGTGCATGACCACTCAACCAACTACAGCACAACCAACACAAGCTATGAAAAGGATAACACTGCCATATATCAAAAACATCTCTGAAACAACCAACAGACTATTATAACCACACAGCATCACTGTAGCACACAAACCAACTAAACCCTCCAAAACATCTTAAGTAAACCAAAAGATTCACTAGCCCAAGAAGAAAAAAACAGGAGTCATCTACAACTTATACAGTAAGGATTGTAACAACTACTATGTAGGACAGACAGGCAGATGACTAGCAGAGCACATTCATGAACACCAACTAGCTGTCAGAAGACACCATGAAAACTCCTTAATCTCACAACACATGGACAGACTCAACCATAGTTTCAATTGGGAAACTGTGAACATCCTAGACCAAGCTAATTCCAAAAATGCTAGGGAATTCCTGGAGGCTTGGCAAGTCAGCCATCAACAGACACACAGAGATAAATCACATTTACATAACATTCAAAAGAGACAATAAAAAAAAAGCTAAGAAGGAAACAAAAAGACCAGAACACAATCTGTCCAGCAACCACCACAACCCAGACAAACCAGGGACCAGACAAACAATCAAGCAGAGAATACCCTAATACCCTAATCAAGGAACTACCAAGGAGAAAACCACACCTCCACCAACGCTGGCAGGGCACACTACTGTACATAAACATGGAGCAAACCCCACACTCACTAGCACTGATGATGTTACCTAGTCAGGTAATGAAACATCTGCAAGCAAACAACCAAGCTCAGAGAGCACCAAGGACTTCACAGTTCAACCATGAGCTACATATATTATCTTCTACTGGAATCAGCATCTGTAGAAACCGAAACTAGGTGTGAAACTAAGGGAGACTAAATAACTCAATCTGATAGCTTTCAGCTACTATCAGTCAAGCAACTCAGGATACAGTATTACAGCTAACACAGAGAAGATAGTGGAATTCCTCTTTTTCCAACTGCTTGCCCAGATCCACCTACTGGTAATTCCATATAGCCCAAGATCAAACTTGGAATAATGAACATGGCACTAATTCAATTACCAAGAGCAAAAGTAGTGTCACAATATAAGAATGTGAACTGTCAGTGGATGGCTCTGTTCAAGGACTTGATGAGCCAGCGTGAATTCTCTTAATATTAATGCTCTTAAAATATCTGTAATATTTTAATTTACACTTGACCATTATAGCACTGTAGGTCACATTTTTATGTGTTATTTTATATTTGTTATACTAGTATTTTATCTCATCTATTTGATTTTACTTTGGTGTTATATATATATATATATATATATTTACTTTTGCTGGTCATTGATCAAATAAACTATTATATTATTATTCACCTGCATCCTACTTTTCAGAGGAGAGATTAACAATATGATTTTCATATAATTAGTGGCACAAAATAATATGTCATTTTGAAAGACTATCGCCTCCTATTTGCTCTTGCCAAGTCACTGTATTAGACAGAAAGGCCCTTTTGTATGAAGTATGTTTAGAAGAAGGGGAAAAAAAGATCTACTTTACTATAGAACTACAGTGTGCAACTCCTGTTTGTTGTTTTTCTCCTATCACTAAAATGCCGTTTTTTTTTTTTTAACAACAGGCATTTGTCCTAACCACTGTGATCTTTTATAATACTGTCTACAAAGCAAATAAACTTCGATCAACAGAATTGTCAGTTTCAGATGTCACCTGAAGATGTCAAAACATTTAAAGTTTGTGTGCTAGAAACAGATGTCCAAAAAAACCTGTTTCCATAGTGAAGAAAAATGACAGGCAGGTGGGTCTGCATAAGACATAGCATGGAGCTCAGACTTAGAACTTCCTCTGAGGTCGCTGTTAAGAGAAGATTTCTTTCTTCTTCTTCTTCTTCTTTTTTTTTCAAAGAATGAACTGAAGTATTTCATTTGGGACAACATGAAAGCTCAATTTGTTCCAGGGTTTCCCATTTCCTTAGACCGTATGATAGTACATGAAAAAGCTATGCTTTTTAGTTTGAAAAGAGAAATTCTAGCATGCCTGATAATTCAGCAATGCTTTTAGACTTTATTTCTAAATGGTTCTTTATGACCTTAAAGGCATTTAAAACAGTACTTAATTATATTCTCTTCACACAAAAGAAGTTTATCAGTTATAAAATTTAACATAACAATTATAGTAAATGTACATGTTTATTGTAGAAGTTTTCATAGAGTTTCAGTAATTGGAAGAATGTGCTTTTCTTATATTAAAAACCATTCCATAAAAATCCACGAGAAGGGGAACAGAAAAAAGAGGGAGAAAACTAGAGCATCTACTATCAGAATTATAATCTTGAAGCCAACACTGTGTCCTGCTGCACCTATCTAGAAGATGGCATTCCCCCAAGCAAATATCTAAAGTTCTTACCCAAAATGCCATGCTGAGATATATATCTGCAGTAATGTTCCCATAAGTGTATTCCCTAGGCTGCTATTTCAAACAGCAGATTGGAGCACTTTACTATCTCACTGAAGGAAGGGATCAGTCTTCTTGTCAAGACTACCTCTAGTCCAGAGTGTCAACTAGCAGCTGGAATTCTTGAAATATTTGGATATGCTTATCTCAAGTTGTCCTTGACATAAGCTTGAATGCTGATTTGCAAACTTCCTGCACTGCTACTAACCCTTCTGGATATTTGGTCTTCATCTAGTTACTCTAGAAATGACTAAGGTCAGTCATACCTGAGTTATTTCTCATCTGGATTATTGTAATGCACTCTACATGGGGCTGCCCTTGAAGACCCCTCAGAAGCTACCACTGGTCCAGAATGTGGCCATGCAAGCAATTATGGGTGCATCTTGGTGCATCTATGTGACATCGCTCTTTTGGGAGGTATGCTAATTACCAATGGACTTCTGGGTACAATTTAAGATGCTGATTGTCATCTATAAAGTTGTGTGTGGCTTACAGCATAGTTATTTATGGGATTCTCTTTCTCCAATTTTCTTTGCCTGTCCTGTAAGATCTCACAGGATGGGCATGTTCTGGGTCTTATAAACTAAACAGTATCATCTTGTGGAACCCCAAAGTCATACCTCCTCTGTTGCTGTCTCCATCCTCTGGAATATCATCTTCCCAGAGGCCAGGAACATTTGTGATCCCAACTGGTGGATAATGGTAGCCAGTATTTTTATTTGTATTTTTTCACCCTAATTTGCTGTGGTTTTGCTTTTGGTTTCATGCCGTATTTTTATGATGTTTTAACTTTCACGCCATCTTGAGTTTTTTGATTTGGTGATGTATAAAACAGAAATAAAAGAAATGTTGTGCAAAGATCACAAGTGTTCGAATACTTGGAAAAGAACACCTGGCAGCAGTGGAAGTAGAAAGGGGAAAAGGTAGGGTGCATGGTCATGGGATGTAAGCTTTGCCTCCTTCCTAGAGTTAAGAGTGCATGACTGGCCCAAGGTCACCCAGCTGGCTTTGTACCTAAGGTGGGGCTAGAACTCAAGGTCTCCCGGTTTCTAGTCTGGTGCTTTAACCACTACAGCAAACTGGCTCTCTAATGGAAATATTATCAGAGGTCTAACATTCAAGGTTTGGAGGTTCCTAATTAAAGCAAGTAAGGAATACACCAGGACAAGGAGATAATACTTGAGCCTTTTTGACTCATGAGAACGTTGAAAGAAGCAGTCTTACCTTTTGCTCTACTGGTATGAATCCTGCCACGAACCCAAACAGTTTCATCAGCTTTCTCTCCTGTCAAATCCTTTATTCGAACTAACACACGATCTGCATACACAAGATATAGTGACAAAAATGAGAACATTTTATTCATATTTACATGAAAAACTATTTATTGAATCCCTTGGCAAAACTTTAGGTTGGATCCAGGCTTGTTCTCACTAATATTTTGCTGGGAAAGGGGCAAAACAGAAATTCTGACTCCTCCATAGCCCATTTTACCCTAAAGTGTAGGTGGAGGGCTTAATGGAGTTGGGGAACAGGGAAGGGAAGGAGAAGCTGCAGAAAATTGCCATTGTGTGGTCTTTGTCCAGTTGAATATCTCTACAAGACATCATTTCTCTCCATGAATATTTGAAAATTTCTAATTATATTCTAAGTTCCAGATGCTTTAACATTTAAGAAGAACTTTGAATCTTATTTCAAATGTTGCTATGGGAAAAAAAGCTGTAATTGTTTATCAGTTTAATACAGGAATAATTCAATATAATTTCTTTCTGAAACTGATCTGTTTAAAAAATAAAGGATTAAAAACATATAAAAGCTGCTGGAATAGCCTATCAATAAATTGCAAGAGAAAAATGTATAGATGGCTTTTGCCTATGAGCCCTGAGAATATCATCTCTCGTCAAGACTTCTCTACGTGTGCCAGTGTAAGAGCTACTATCTCTATAGTAAAATGTCATATGTATTTGATAACTATGTGAACATCTGAATTATTTAGATGAGACCAATGGCACAGGTTGCTCCTATCTAATTTCTTCTCTAGAGGATCAGCAGTTCTACAGTATCATATAGTTCTGATATTCATACTTATTCTTCTATAATGGAAATTGCTACAACATAGCTGCAGGAATGTGTGTATAGTATGGTAGTGCTGGGATAGCTGAAGTGCTTTACTATATGTTCTAGGCCAGTTCTTTGAAAAAATAATAGGAAAGGGAACTCATCCTTAACCTAGCCATGATATTTTGTTTCAGTATGTGCCAGTGGTGGTTCTTCCAGTTTTTAGCATATGACAAAACTTTTAATTCATATCTAGCATATATCAGAATGTAGCAACAATTCCACAATCCTTTGAACCTGAAATGAATAAGTTCTTACCTTTTTTCTCAAACTGGCTCCATTAAAGCTAGAAACTAATTAATTTGATGTGACAATCAGCATTATGTTACTTACAATATTATTGACTAGCTCTCTGTTTTACAGAATTTTGAAACTGACCTGGTTTTTCCTGTGACTGTATCATTGGCAACATTCCATATCTTTCTTTTGCATAATCCTGAAAAAAGGAAAGAGGAAATAATTATAATAAATTGCAATAATCAAATACAAAGAAAATAACAGAGTTATACTTAGCTATATTTTACTATAGTTCCTGATGGGTGAACATATTCTACATATGAAGCTTAGAATTAATCAACAAGTAAGGGTTAATTCTCACTTTAGCCTGAGATTCTGAAATATACAGTATAGAGTACAAAATAGATTCACCTCTGAGGACAATGGGATACATGAATCACTTACCATGTTACACATATGTGATCACTTAGTAACATTCAGCCCTATGTACTAAATAACTTTCAATATTTATTATTGGTGATAAGCACAGGAAAAAGTACACTCCAAATGACTTCATCCTCTTTCCACTTTTTTTTAGCATGGTATGATTTGAACTTTGAGAACTGAATAAGCACTATGCTTCCCATCCTATACTCTAATTATAAAAGCATGGAAAATAAAAGTTACTAATACTGTTAACAGATGTAATTTATGTATTCAGCTATAACTTATAAGAATGTACTACTTTCTGAGGAGAAACTGGACTATAGCATTCAATATCCCAACTGATCTGGAAAAGAACTTCAAACCCTGAAACAGAGTTCATTGTTTACTTAGGCTTGTGCTTGACAGGTATGCAAATGGGAATAAAAAACTAAGTGTTCCCACAAATAGGGCTATACAAAACATGCCATGCGCTATGAGGCATAAAAGCAAAAAGTTAAACATAAAATGAATTGAAATGAAGATATTAGTACTAAAATAAAAATAGATGTCTAGAACAATGCAAAAGTGGTAGGCAGCAAGTTCTAATCACATCATGCTCATGTAGGGGTTTTTGGAAGGGAATATGTAACTCAGGTATGCAGTAAAGTTTTCACAGTATGCAACTCATGATATATGACCAAAAAAGACATGTTTGAAACCTGACAGCTATACCAGGCAGAAAGAATTTCTGATTTTCCAAATATATAAATACAATTGAAATGCAGAAACAGTGTGAAACAATAGATACATCCCTTTATTAAACTATTTTCAACTCAAAATACACTGTTCTAAATTTTAGTAATGTGGTAAAAGTCTATTTACATTAATAAGTTGATCCTGCAGACCACTCATTAGTAAGAATACTTTTTTTAAAACAGTATCTATGTTTAGAAAACAACTGTGTAAGAATTAAAATCAGAATTACTAAAATGTATGATAGCAAAAGAAACCTGAAAACAGCTTGAACAAACTTCTTGAACAAGTACTACATGAGCTTGAATAAATTCATATCATTTACACCTTGTAACAAAAATGGTCCTGAACAGAGACAAAAATCCTTTCAATGAAGCAAGCTATCAATATTCTGCATTTGGAACAGAATATTTTAACTTTATTAATGGGTACCAGGAACTTTACTCATCAGTACCAGGGCCCTGATATAAATAGAACATGTATTTTCCTGATTCTATGCAAATTTCCTGGAGCAAATCTGTGTGAAGTTTCAACAAGGGAAGTACAATTCTACCATTGTAGGACCTTACATTTAAGGGAAAGAATACCTATCAAATCTCAGAAAACTTACAGTTTATAGAAAAACAATCACCAGAAAAAATAAAGCAGTGGAAGCAACAGAATAAAGACATAATCAGTTTTCCTTGAATATTACATCATTTTAAACACAAGGGCAACTTTGGTATGCCTATTTCAAACCCATTCCTATTGCCTGCAAAAAGTTATACCTGGCTCTCATTTTGCTTTTTATATGGCAGATTTTGAAATATAGCTGTCCATTTCTTAGTGTTACATACAACAGTGTCATACATCTGCTTGATTCTGTCTTTAATGAACTAAGAACTTTTATCCCTGAAACCTAGTTTTCTCCCAACTGAAAGTCTGAAAAAGGCTTCCCTTGTAGTGTGTAATCGCGTTCTCCCTTTGCTTCTGAGTAATCTTTTTCTTTCTCACACAGAATACATCATCTGTCCAGATGAAATGGGACAAGTTTAAAAGATGTTAAAGCTACCGCATGGGTATTCACCGTAATTTATTTGACCTATTTCGCCCCAAGCCTCACTCAACGCCTACTTTCACTTCCTGCCAATTTCCATGCCTTCTAAACGCAACCAGAAGACAGAAGTGAAAAGAGGGTGAATGGCGTCCAGGAGGGGGAAGGGAGGGAAGCACGACCCCTCCACGGCTCAAGTTTTGCCCCAGGAGCGAGGTGGCGGCTGGGGGCTTCGGCCCATATGCTGGGCCTTTGACATTTACAACCCATCCTCCGCCCCCCTCAACGCTCCTCGCCTTCCTTCCTTCCCTCCCACCCATCCAGCCCGTTTCCATCCCGTCGGAGACCCACATCGGCCGGCGGCGGCTCCATTGGGCGGTCGCGGTTCCGTTCTTGATTCTTACGGACGGCCACGCCGGGCATTTTACCACAGGCAGCAATAAAGGTGGCCTGAGAGCCCGCACGCGCACACTTTCTTTTTGCCCCTTCAAGGCTCCCGTACCACCTGACAAAACCTTCCACCAAACCTCGCTCGATTCCCCACAGCAGCCTCCGCGGGCTACGCTTTTTTTAACGCTCTCTCCGCGTGTCTTCTCGCACTTCCGGGCACGTAAAGCACGCCAGGGAGAGCCGAGCGCGCTCTAACCATTACGTCACGCGGGAATGACTCTCCTCGCCGGCCCGTCCTACCCTTCCCCCCTCTCAATCCGTGGAACGCTTTCTCGCGAGGTTTGGATAGTTGGCAGCTCTACGCGTTAGGTACTGTCTGTCTGTTTCTGTAAGGTTTGAGAACGGATTTTATGCACAGATTTCTGGAGGAAAGTATGGTTATAGCAAAATGATCATGCCTTCTCATATTTCATAATACTTTAAAAAAGAATAAAAGCGAAAAAAATTGCACTCTTAATATATGCCTCTTTACACCCTTATTCGAGATTTCTGAGTATTGTTATGTGATTGCAAGCCAATGTTTCGGTGTACGTTCACCTACTACATTTTGTTTACTTATTCTCCCGTGCTGTTGAGCCAAAAAGTTACCAGCAATAAAACTAAACAAGGACATTATAGCTCATAAAGTTAGGTGTACTGTATAAAGTGCAACGGTCTATGAGTTCAACTCCCAGTATAGGAGTTTGAACTACACAAGATCTATACCAGTGTTGTCCAAACTTGGCTACTTTAAGATGAGTGGACTTCAACTCCCAGGATTCCCTAGCCAGCATGGCTGGCTGGGGAATTCTGGGAGTTGAAGTCCACTCATCTTAAAGTAGCCAAGTTTGGCCAACACTGGTATAGATCTTGTGTAGTTCAAACTCCTATACTGGGAGTTGAACTCATAGACAGCCAGCATGGCTGGCTGGGGAATTCTGGGAGTTGAAGTCCACTCATCTTAAAGTGGACAAGTTTGGACACACTGATCTATACTAACGGAGTGCTGTACTAATGGTTGTGTACTCTAACTTTTAACTCCAAGAAGCAGTCACTATTGTTGAATGTTGCCTAATCTTGATAATGGGCTGGATGAGGGAGCATATGCTGAAATTTCATTCAGGAAAGTTGGTATGGAGAAAGTGGGACTCTGGGACTGAGATGAAGTCTATTATGGATGGGGTTGTCTTTCCCTTACAACAAAGAGATTCTCAGTTTGGGAGTGCTCCTTGACAGCCCAGCAGTCACTGGATTTGCAGGTACACCTGTGGTTAGAAGTGTGTATGTATAATTGTGGTGAATGCATCAAGTCTTCCTAAAACAGTTGGACTTAAAGTTTATCTTTGCCTTTTGGGCTCTTTCTCTTGCCTGCTAATTGCAGAATGAAGATGACTTACTATTTTTGTAGGTCATGTCCTCATGTTGATTTTGTCTCCACCACAGTCTGCTAGAGAAGCAGTACACATTGAAATTTAGTACAGGTAGTCCTCATTTAGCAACCACAATTGGGACCAGCAACTCAGTCATTAAGTGAAGCAGTCACTAAGTGAACATGTGACTGTGTTTATGATCTTCACAAAATATCTATATGTCATAAAACAAACAAAACACTAGGCTGAAGCAGCCCACTATTATTATTATTATTATTATTATTATTATTATTATTATTA